CCCCAAAACCCCAAAACCCCAAAACCCCAAAACCCCACATACTGCTTTAAGTATTGAAATGGTAGTAAAATATAGATGTTCAGCCCTAGTTTTGGAAAACACTCTTGTTGGGATTAGAAATATTGATCCGACCAACTGTGACTCATTCTGCAGATAAAGCAGTGAGGTCATCAATGTCCTCAACTTTCTCATTAATGGATTGACACTTACTCCTTCGAGAGATGACGGAGGATATCCTCAAGTCCTTGAGTTGGAGCCGGCTTCCGATTCCATATCTCAAGGATTTGTTCTTCCATTCATGAGACATTGATCCACTCATTTTTGAAAATTCTCTATTAAAAGATGTAAATAATTAATCTAGTTAAAATAAGGGAAATTACCTTGGATTCTTAGATGAAACCTGATAGATTGATAGTCCAATGAACTCCTTTGGAGTTATTGGACTCTTTCCTAAATTATTTTCATGTAGAGGACCCTTTGGTCGCTGTAATCTGACTTCCTTGGTACCTCTTTCTGACATAATTTCCATCATACCTCTTCCTTTTAGGTTTCAATCGCGGTCAAGCATTACTTGAAGAGTTATTACTAAGTTTATTACTAATGTTGAGCATCCGGCCTGCGAAGGAGTTCATCGAATGCTCTGAACTGAATGAAATGATCTCTCTGCTCTTGAACTTGCATGAGTCATCAATCCTCTTGGGCTTCTTAGAGCTACTCTTAAAGAGAAAATCTTTGAATGATATATGCTTGTACATTCCACTTAAGAACTCTCATAATTTAGAATAGTCAAGCTCAAAATTTGGTCCGGTACGTTTTATATATTTCAAATATCTATAGATCTCCGAAGGGAGTCCATAACATAGCTCATTGTTGTTGCACAGCGATTTTATCTCTGATGCTGAGGCTACATTGGCCATGCTCTCAGATTGATCTGGTCACCAGGGCAAAGTTTTATTAATTCAGTAGATTAGTAAATAACAAATTGATTCTAAATCGTCCCGAATTGTAGCAGTTCCATGTGCATCATAATTTAAGCTCGTGTACAAAATGTCATCTTTATAATGAGCTTCATGACTAATTTTCGTCCCAATCTTGGTTAGCTCGAGTAGCCCAAGTGTTGAATCGATTATAACCGATAACTTATTAAATTTTCAATATTTCTCGGAGTGAATTTCCCAACAATATATCCCGATTCGTGAATTTGTCTGAGCTTCTTTCCTAGTAATAATTCTAAATTTTCAAAGAAAAAGAGGGTATTTTTCATATCATTTTGAGAAAATCCACTCAAACTGGGTTCTTCATGGAAACTAGACAGCTTGCTGACCTGGAGGAGCTTTACTGGGCCCTTCTCTAATGTATTCATATTTACTAATATTTATTATTCCAATGATTGGTGACACACAAGGGGTTTTGGGGTTTTGGGGTTTTGGGGTTTTGGGG